CCGAATTTAGTCTGTAATAAGAAAGGCTTACCGGCCGCTATTTCCCCAGCTTGCCGGATCTCTTCCCGAGCCGCTCTAGACTCGGACCGTGCTTCTCTCGCCTCTTGTAAGGCCTTGCCGAGATTGACTGTTTTGGATTTGTTGTCCTTCTCGAGGAATTTGCATCGAACATTGGCATCCTTTAGCTCGCGCGCCATGGTAGATATTCTCTCCTTGCACTGGCGTCGAGCAGCCTGTTCGGCCTTTAACTCAGCGGCTGCCTTCTTGGCAGCCGCCTCACTCATCCTGGCTGGCTCCTTGGCCCGGGCAAGCTCAGCCCGAAGGGCCTCAACTGCGGCAGCACTATCTGCAGTTATGCATATCTCAGTATACAATTTTCAACGTCATGCTTATATTATCATACTTACATATACTGACTACCCCAAAACATACCTTGCGCCTCGTCGAGCCGCCTGTTAATAAGTGTGATGTCGTCATCCGCCACATCAAGTTTCGACTTCAGCCTTGCAACCTCTGTAGCTTGGGCAGTCGTCATGGATGTAACAGCCTGTGTTCCAATTCACCAGATTATTTCCTGGTAATATCTTTTTTATCCTCTGATCGCCTCCCTTCGGACGCCAACCAGAGTCTCAGGGGCTACTATCTATACACAGGTGCATTTTGCACGTAGAAGTGCAATTGAAGATATTACATTGCATACCTCGAAGCCTCTTAGCAGGCTCATGAAGGCTTCATTCAATCCGCTTCTCGCGAATAGAATCCTCTCAACTACCGTACCCATTAAGGTACGATGTTCCTCTGAAACGGACGCATGTTGCAGCATGCCCGTCATTGTATTCGGCGCCCCCGGATCCCTAGGAGCGGCCGCAGGAGTACGGACTCCCTTCGAAGGGATATGTTTACCCGACTCTAGAGTCGTCCCCGGCTGTAAACCGGATAGTCGGGGCCCTTTATTGTTGGTCCCCATAGGGTTCGCACGCCCCGGACTCTGGATGGCCGAAGTATCGCCTTCGGGCATAGTCTTCATTGTCCCTCGCACCGCTTGTTGATCGGGAGAGATCCTCCGGGACGACACCTCAGAGTCGTCTGCCCTGTTGGGCGAGAAGGTCTGTGGAGGCGTCTCGCTTTCCATCATCTTCGGAAGAAGATCCCCCGAGGAGGAGGACTGTTGAGGAAGACTGCGTACCGGAGTGCAAACATATATTTTAAATGTTACCCTGGTAACCAGAAAGCAATGGGATATGTTTCGGACGCCCCTGTTCACTTACGATTCGGCTAAGGCTTGTCCTTACGGGGGAACTGCGCGACAACGTCGTCTTCTGAACCTGAACCACCTGACAGGGACATCTTCCCTCGCTTAGGAGCCTTTGCTTCCAAATCTTCGGAGGCGGCCCTTTTCTTCCCATCGGGAGAGGGGATGTCAGTTTCCCCTTCTCTTTTGTCTTCGGAAGAGGGAGTTCCAATCTCCTCAGACATAGGGTCTGGTGTACCTTTGGAATGGAGGCCACCTTTGGCCTTCTTGCTCTCCTCTTTGTCCCCCTTCGCCGACACTTGGTATGGCGCCGGAGCCAGCATCCTTGTTAACACAGGATCTGTTGAGTCTTCGGGAAGAGGGGCCGAACACCTAATTCTTTCCGCCTTCTTGATCCAGCCCTGGTCGAAGATGTTTTTCTCAGTATATTGTTGTGAGACATTTAACTAACTTGTGTTCGGGAGTCGAGGGCTTACCGAGGTATCTGGATGGTTGCAGTCAAGGCCGATGTCCTCGGTAGTATCCGGCCACTATTTTCGTGTCCCGAAGAATAATTTCCGCATTCCTTTGTGCATCGTGCCAAAGAAGTGTTGAAGAGTCTGTGGTCCTTCAGGATTGAACTCCCACATGCGGAGGGGCCGTCGCTGGCACGGCAGGACCCGGCGGACTAGCATTACCTGGATTACGTTGATGAGACCGGTGTCCTTTTCGAGGAGTCTCCGGATGCGGCTTTGTAGCGTCTGCACTTCGTCCCTTGATCCCCAGTCCAACCCCTTATTAATCCATGATACGAGCCGTAATGGAGGGCCAGACCGGAACGCAGGTGTAGCTGCCCACTTGGTACCACGGGGTTCAGTGATGTAAAACCACTCCCGCTGCCATAGGTTGGAGGTTTCTGTGAAAGAGCCTTTTGGCCAAGGTGTATTGGTGAGTTTGCTCACCGTAGCACCGCAGCACTCCGCTTGCTTCCCATCGACTACCTTCGGTTTCATATTAAAGGTCTCGAGCCATAAGCCAAAGTGTGGGGGAATGCGGAGAAAGGCCTTGCACATGACGATGAACGTCGAGATGTGAAGAAAGGAGTCCGGAGCTAGATCATGAAAATCTAGCCCGTAATAGAACATGAGTCCACGAACAAAGGGATGGAGAGCGAACCCTAGCCCTCGGGGGAAGTGGGAAATGAATACGACCCTCTCGCCGGATCTGGGAGTAGGAATGACCTGCTCTTGAGCAGGGAGCTTGTGGTGGATTTCCGCGGTCAGGTACTTTGCCGCCCGAAGCTTCACGATATCATCCTCTGTGACGAAGGAGGCCACCCACCAACCTTGAGGATTGGGTTCGGACATGACTAGGAGGCTCGGAACAAATAAATTAAACCTTGGGTGCTAGAACTCGAGGAAAAGGAAGGCGTGGAGGAAAAAGACGGGTCTGTGCCCCTTTATAAAGGCGATGAATATCAAAACGCCTCCTCCAAGGTCTCAAAACCTGCCTATTCCCAAGGAATCACACCAACAGGATGGTTGGGTTACCCACACCCGTATTGATGAGAATCTCATAATAAGGGGACATGATCTCTGCTTCGACAAGACATTCCAATAAAACCGCTTCTCGAAACATGGAGCGGGAGGCCGAAACACGGTTCGAAATAATAACCGGGCAGCGACGTGATGCCATGCTACAAAAAGTTGTCAGTGGATTGGACTCGTGAAATATTATGCTCTCTGCGGTTGTGTGTGGTACTTGTTTTGCAGAGCCGGACACATTTTCTGTGCTCGAAGTCCATTTTGGAGTATTCGGAGGAGGAACCCGCCTTGCAATGCCGAAGACAATCTACGCGTCGGACACATCGTCATTGAAGCCTGGTTCAGGGGATACTGAGGGAGTCCTGAATTAAGGGGTCCTCGGGCATCCGGCCCATATGACGTGGGCCGAACTGATGAGCTATGAAGATACAAGACCGAAGACTCTCTCCCGTGTCCGGATAGGACTCTCCTTTGTGTGGATGGAAGCTTGGCGTTCGGATATAAAGATTCCTTTCTCTGTAACCGACTTTGTATAACCCTATCCCCCTTTGGTGTCTATATAAACCGGGGGGTTTAGTCCGTAAAGGCAATCATAATCATACATGCTAGAATTTTAGGGTTTTAGCCATTACGATCTCATGATAGATCAACTCTTGTGATACTCATATTCATCAAGATCAATCAAGCAGGACGTACGGTATTATCTCTAGAGAGGACCCGAACCTGGGTAAATATCGTGTCCCCCATCTCGTGTTACCATCAACCTTAGACGCATAGTTCGGGACCCCCTACCCGAGATCCGCCGGTTTTGACACCGACAGACACCGCGAGAGATCGTCCCTTCCACGTATGTTAATGTGTTTGACTAAATCGAGATCGCGCCTTGGCGCAAGGGTGCCAGTCCGAACGTGTTTGTCATGCAGGTAATGGTAAATCAGTAGTAATCCAGGTTTAGCATGTGCATTCATACAGGATAACAATACATTGAAGAAGAAACATTTAATTGTGATAGAAGCGACACATAATGGTGCTCAATATCGGCATGAGACTAGAAGACTGAATACTATAATTGTGAGACATAATGGTGCTCAATATCGGCATGAGACTATAAGACTGAATACTATAATTGTGAGGGAAACTTAGCATTATGATAGAAGCGACACATAATGGTGCTCAATATCATTGCCGAGTCCTACCGTTTGTGTTGTATACTATAATTGCGAGGGAAACTTAGCATGTTTAGTAATTAATATGTCTATGACAGTAGAAGTATTTAGTCTGTTCAAAAACAAAATGACATAACGTTCAACACCAAGGAGTAATATCATACGATGACAAAATCCAATCAGGTTACAAAGTTCAGTACTAAAAGCAGGGGCATAATATAGCTTAAGTAACTATAATGGTAGTGAGATCAATATTGAGAAAGCTACCCAATTAGCAAACCAAATGCCAACACAAAATGCTTTAAGTACGTTATTTTTAGACAAAGCAGTCAAGGTTAAAGAGCGCATCCAGCAGTTTTGATGCTACATAATTTTCAGAGCAAGGCATTCCTACAAAAGGCGAATGGTCAAACAGAAGACCATTGAAACATCTTGGTAGATAGTTGGGTAGTCATTAGCGTCGAAGCAAGTGGTTGACTGATCATCATTGGCGAATCACCTGTGTAAGAAAGGCATCGTTGATCATCGATGACCACACACGAAAATGTTGTTTGACAACCTTAATGGACCATGAGGTTCTTAAGTAAATCTCAAACCAAATGTGTAACATTGCCATATAAAACTATGAGATACTTATATCTGATTTACGACAGAAAAGGGAGAAAAGTATCAACAGATGATTTTGTAATAGAAAAGAAAATGAAAAAAAAGAATTGATTTTGAACCTGCCGGCCCAATAACTTTGTTGTCCAACATTTTAAAATCCCCTAGCTATGTAGAATGAAGCATAATCCACACTTCACTCTGCATATTTTGCGAATCAGGGATTGTAGATGCTTAAGGAGATGCTACGTTAGGAATTAGCAAAATAACATATGCTACATCCAGATTCTTTAGGGAGGGAGAGAGGGGTGGAGAGAGAGATGGACCTGGAGGTTTAGCAGGCGGGCAGGAGGACCTGGTGAGCTCGACGCTGCCCCGCTGCTCTCACGTCGAGCTCGCAGCCGCGTCCGCATCAACCCGACCACCGACACCTTTGCATCACAAATAGCTAATCGCCTAATGTTGTTGTACTCCTACCTGTGAATCACCATAAAATTTATTAACATAGTCACAGAAGCATCACTGCAAGATACCACTAAGATCAAAGTAGCACATTACCAGCATCCCCAAACAACAGAACCCAACACTGTCACTCATATCTATAGGCCAGCAATCAAAATGCAGTAGATCCCAGACACTTCCCATCCACATGCTGTAACCTCTCTAGCACACCGAGGTTCAGTTAACACAGAAGCACTAGCAGAGCAGATGTAAACCCAAGCGGCGGACTCACGTTGCGCTGGTGGTGTTGTAGAGGCGAATGGAGTCGTCCTCGGTGACGAGGAGATCCTCCTTGCGTTGGAACTCGAGGCAGCTTATCTTCCCAGACTGCCAACCGATTCGCCACGACAGATTAGCGTGGGCAGTAGGAACAAACATGAGGGGGGGGGGTAGGCAATGGAACTCACGTAGTCGGTGAAGACCGCGCCGATGGCCATGCCGCGGACGATGCCGTCGTCCAGCAGCCACGGCATGGCTGCCATCCTCGGCGCTGCCGCTGCCCGCCCGCCCGTCGTCCAGAAGGTAGCAACAAAACAAAATAACCCCAAACGCTTACTTAGCAAGGAAACAAGCTGCAAAACTAACAAAGCACACATCCTTCAAAGTTCACCTACATTTAGTCTGGTGCATGATCCAAAAAATGCAATGGTGAGAGACAGAATTGGGGAAAGCTTCAGAACAAACTAAAGAAAACAAAAGGAAATGTCCGCTCAATGGCTCGGATTAACCCAGCAACTTAATCACAGCAGTCGAAAAATTGTTTATGGATACAGACAGCAACATGGGACATACTACCTCAGTCACTCTTTACGTGAACAATCCAGCATTATCTCCAAAAAAACTCTCAAAAAAATCATGTAGCATTACTATTTGTAGCATGTAAGAACAAATAGCTGCAACTGATAACTTGCGGAAAAATAGGAGTAATAGTATCACAACGAATTAAAACAAGCCACTCAACCGATAACTTGCTGGGAGTGAGTCAAAGTGCAACTTACTCTTAACCAAATTAAATCAAGGACCAACAACAAACAATAAAAGATCAAGAACAACTTATATGCAATAAAGGTATGAGAGAGAAGAAATCTGTACACAAGACGGCTATAAACACTGGAGCACAAATAAGCAACACCTTTAAATACAAATAAAAAGAGTTCATGGTTCATTGCATGGTGGGCTCAGATTCACCTTTCCTCGATCATATAACCTACCCCCATCATCTCTTATCACCAGATCAATCTTTTTATACATTGGAGCTGCCCTGGTTATCACTCAACAAGAATGACCATCCAAGGACAGAACAATAAGTATCACATGATCAAAAAGGATTCTAGAGACAAGAGGGAGGATCCAACTTGATACCACAGGTGCCTCGATTGCTGAAAGGCACACTTATTTCAGTCACGGTTAGTCATCATCGCCCTAGAAAGAATGGCCTCCCTCGCCTCATCGACGCACGGACCAACCAGGGGCCACCACGCACAGGGGTAAAAGGTGAAAAAACGAAAATGCCCTCGGCAGGGCACGATAATTATCGGCGGTGGCACGAGATATTTGACCGCTGGAGGGTGCCGACTGGCCGCACAGACCACGCTCCCAGGCACAGCCGCTGACAGGCGCGACCCACCCCATGAAGGGGCCCACAAGCCAGCGAGAACCGGTCAAAATCGCGGAGTAAGCAGGATCGCGGGGGGACGGTAACTATTCATTGCTACAGGAGCGCGGCTTCGATCCGCCGGCCAAGCCCTTCCACGCGCTCGATCCAACGGTCGGAAACGCATCAAGCAGTTCGATTGGACAGCCGAGAGTCGCTAAACTCTGAGAGAGCTCGGGGGCTGCCTCAGTTCTTATTTCTGGATGTGTTCTTAAATTCCTGTAAACCAAAGGGGCACTAAATACAAATACAGAACGGCAACAACATAGCACACTGTGCTTGAGACCAGAACTGCATTTGAATGGGCTCAGATTCGCCTTTGCTCGATCATGACCCTTCCCCTAGTGTCTCCATCGCCAGACCAATCTGTTCTCGCAAGGGTGAAACTGCCCTGGTTATCACTCATCAGAAATGACCATCCAAGGACAGAGCCACTAAAATAAGCACATGATCAAAACGGCTCAAAGAAACGAGGGGGGATCCAACTTAATACCCACAAGCGCCTCGGTTGCTCAAGAGCATGCTTATATCAGCCATAACCGATCATCATAGCCCTGCGCCAACTAAGTGTCTCTTTTTGATCCAGCGGGCAAGATCCAACGGCCCAAAACGCATCCGAAATCAAATCCAGGAGCATAGCTATAGGACCAGAGCATCCAATGTAAACCAGAGCATCACAGGGAGCTCCTATGATAGCAAGTAAACATGAACAGCAGCCTCCAAACCCTAGAATAGCATGGATCCACAACTACAGAACTCAGGTAGGAACTGATGCATGAGTAGGGCATGGAGCATCAACCAGACGAGCACCACATCAACATAGCCACGGCCATGCCCCATACAGTAGCCGAAGCAGAGGAGCAGGAGGAAGATGGAGCTCACCGAGGGAGGTTGTAGCCAAGGCAGTACTCAGTGGGCGCCGGGGTTGCGCCTGAACGCCGTACAACCGGCGCGGAACCGCTTCCTAAACCGCACATCCACGCCCCAGCTGATATTTCCTGATCAACAAAATAAATCCTTTGGAAGTTAATGCAGTTAGGAAAATCAGCATGTAAAATAAACAGATTTTGCCTGCATACTAAAATGGCTTTAGTCCACCTAATATATGTGTGTGTGCATGAATCAGAAACTTGAATCAATCAAACTAAATCTATTAGCAAACATTCTTTAGTCCACCTAATAAATGACCCTAAAGAAGCTGCATTTTGTCTAATAGCGAAGGAAATGTAAAACCAAATGGCTTTTTTTTGCATCTTTTCCATCTTCTATTTCAACAAAATTCTTGAGTATCAAGGCAGAAAAGTTGAAAAAATCCAGAGAGAGAGAGAGATGGACAGACGGCGAGTTATCAGCACATGAACGGAGGCAAATCAGCAACGCTATTCTGCCCAACACCAAACCGAGTGCACGTGTTATCTTTGCCAACCACCATGGAGGAGGAGGGGAGGCCGTTAGGGAGGAAGAGGAGGAGGCCGAGGCAAACTCGTGCCAGTCGGTGGCAGCCGAATTGGGCCGGCAGATCAGAGGCGGCTCACCTCAGGTCATCTCCTCTTCCCAGAGGTGCATGAAAGTAATGACGACGGTCCACCGCTTGGCACATTTGCTTTTGCTGTTGAGAACATGAGAATAACTTTTCAAACTAAAATAAGGAAAAAATGGTTGTTTAAGTAAATTTACCATCTACTTACTAATAGAGTGCAGCAGCATTCAGTTAATGAGACTATCAGAAGAACTTGTTTTCATACTGAAGTAAGGAAAACCAAGCGACAACAAATATTCATATCTCACTGATTATGCTATCTAGCATATATTCACCTAAACCATAAGATATGATTGGAACCACAAAGCTCTAAACCAAATGGCAACAATAGAATCGAACTAGGCTCTATTAGTATATAAAAATTGTAGAGGGCTGCGGAAGAATTTGAATGTACATGTAAGCTTATCGAAAAAACAACATAGCTCTAGAATTGTACATACATGCTTAACTAATACCACACATGAAAATGCATCCTTGAATGCCTCTTCTGATCACTACTATCCAACATATATTCAGCTAAACTATAAGATATGACTGAAATGCAAAGCTCTAAACCAAATGACAACAATAGAATCAAACTCCACTATATTAGCATCTAAAAATTAAGACCGCGGAAGAATTTGAATGCACGTGGAAGCTTACTGAAAAAACAACATAGCTCTGGAAATGTACATACATGCTTAACTGACACCACAGGAGAAAATGCATCGTTGAATGCTGCTTCTGATCCTTACTCTGAAAATTGTTTACAACAGAGAACTAATTACTTTCATTACTGATCAGTACCAAACCAAAGCAAATGGATCATAAAACATATTAAGCACTTTATTGATCAGTACCAAACCAAAAGCAAATGAAAACAAAATGATTAGTTGGTTTTTAGATGCCTTATATCAGTACCAAACCACCGGCTTCGGCAAGGGATGAGCATCATGATGGTAACAAAATTAGAATATTATTCATCCTTATCAGCCTTGCCCACTTCATTAAGACTATCCATCAACTTATATTCAGTAAGAGAAACGTCAAGAAATATTATTGTGCTTTCCACACGATATATTTTAGTGGTAGCTTATAAAATGAAATGAAGTCAAGGAAGATTCAAAATTCACTGCAGTAGCTTGAAGCAAAGCGGACATCTTAATTTCTTGCGTTCTTCACAGCCAAACAAAAACAAATAAAGGAAACTAAAAGGTTCAGAGAGACATGCAAAACAAAGACTGTAATAGCAGAAGAACCCAGACTGAAGTATTGTAGCACGTAATCATTTTATAGGAAACAATAGAGCTTGGTAACCAACCACCATCATAAATTGTTTACGTGAATAAAGGGCATAAGTTTTATCTAAACATATCAAGCAAAAAAGATTAGTTATTTTGTAGGAGCAACCACCAGTGGAACGATTCATAGAGAAGTTAGACTAATAACAGAAGCTAGGAAAAAAAGGGTATACCTGAGCATAACTGGATATGTGCCAATCGCGATTCTTCGCAGTGCAACTCGTCAAGCTTCTCACAACTAAAAAAACTACCTGCACAGGTGGACAGAAACAGAAACCACACTAAAAATCAGTCAAAGCAAGGCATTCTAGAGCACTATGCAGTCAGCTCATATGCATCAGCTAAATAGCTTACCAACACATGAAATCTACACAATATATCATGCATTCTTCACTTTACACATTCCGCATTTCAAATGGGTAAACTATAGAGTACTCGCTACTATGCAAAGGGCCAAGGGACATAGAGTGTTCTAACCAGCTGATTTCTTTGTTCGGAATGCCCTTCTTCTTTGAGTTCCTCATAGGATGCATCTGATCAGTCCATTGGGAATGAACACAAACATTATAAGGAAAACTGCTGAGAAAAGCGGTCCTCGCCGAAGTATAAAAGATAAACTGAACACTAATGAATTGTACTTTATATTTGACACCCAGACACATTTTGTTATAAATCATGTTTAAGACTGGTTGCAATCAAACAAACCACCTCTCACATGCAAAGGCTGGATGAGTGACAAAACGATCTCAATTCAATATTGTAATCGCGCTATTCCATCTCTGTGTCCGGCACTCCTCCTGTCGAGTCCGGAGGAACGACAACGGCGACATGGACAGCTCGGCCACCTCGTCGTCTCTGCGGCCCGCGCTCATCCTCCTGCCTGAGGACGAGGAGGGAGGCGCGCAGAGGAGGGAGCAGCGACGCAGAGCATACCATAGATAATGTCGTATATACTATGAACATTAGCACTTTCTAAACAATGTCGCTGCTAAGCATCATGAGCAAAGAAGAATTATGAAAATCAAACATCAACAAACGTGCGCATCCACCAAATCCTCCTTCATCGAATCTTGGTGTAATCAAAGTGACTAAAACTACTCCGACAGTAAACCATTTACTCTT